AGACTCTCTGCTGGCCTTTCCCATATCTTATAACATCCTTGAGGCTTTGTTTGTGGGTAGCCCTGGTGAGAATATATTACTATTTTCTGGGACTCTCTGCTCTCTTACGCGGTTCTGCCGCCTGCTCGCGTAAGGGTGGACCCTCTGTAAGTGGCAAAAAAATTATTAGAGAAAATGCCTCTGTTAATGCCTTCCTTGCAGGACTCGAAAAAAGCAGAGTACATTTCTGAATTTTATGAGAAGTTGATTGTACGGAATACATACTATCAAGTGAAAATGAAATGCATCGGCGCGGGTAAAGCTTCTGCAAATGAAAGAGAAAAGTCGCTCCGCTAACGGGCAAAGGACACTTTTGCATACAGGTGTAGAAAAAGAAAAGCACGCAATAGCGTTAGAAAATTGATTGATAAGCCAGACAGGACGGTTCCTCTGAGAACGAGAAAACTCGAAAGCCTTTAAGATTGATTTAATGTTCATGCACGCCAAACAGAGTTACCAGTATGGTACAAGTTTTCATTTTTGTTTAAAATAATGTAAATAAGGTCTACGGTCTAAAAAGCATAACAACTCAACCCCAGAGATCTCATCCGTGCAGAGACATTTTTACTGGTGTGCGTCGCCTGCCGCACGACTCTCTTGAAGCTACACGTATGCTCAAGTGTGGTACAGAGTGTTAGCGAGTTTTGTAGAAGCGTGGATGTAGCACATTGCAGCGCATTGAACCTCTGATAGGAGAAATAAGAAGCCATAAATTACCAGTTGTCAATTGAACAACCAGCGGTGCTCGCCGACCACTGAGCTAGATGGACCCGCCACTGGGATGGTGTACTGTGTGTATTCCCATCGCTTATCATCTGGGCTGCTCGCTGTAGCAACTCGGCGACAGTGGTGTTAACGTTCGAATCGTTCTGAAATTCGAGATAATTTTAAATAAGGTAAATCGGCAAAATTTGTCTCAAATATTCAAGCTTAATTTTAGAACTTAGCTAAACGTTCCATTAAGGGAAGGGCTGAAATGAACACAATTTTTAGGGGTCTTGGCCGATAGCCTATTGATGCAGCGGTGTCGGACACAGCCATGTAGACAAGTGTCCAGGGTGAGGGGTATAGGGGTGCAACGAAGAGTTTCAAACCCTGACCTATTCATACCCGGACAAGTTCAGATCCTGTTCAAGACAGAGAGGCTAGAAAACAATACCCTGTCCAACGGCACGTCCCTGTATACGCCATATAAAGGAGTAACCCCTCTTCCGGGCACTCTCCACAACGAAAATTTATACTTAACCACTAATTTCATCATCAAACACTAGCTTATATGCTTTTTAAAACCTTACGCGGATAAAACTTTTAGGTTACACCGTAAGTAAACAATCCTATCAACTGGTAGCAAGCTGCTCCCGTAAGCTACCGCAAACTTTGTGTCTTTTACAATTCAAGCTCTTACTCGCTTTTTCAATCGTTTTAAGAATGTGCATTTCAAATGGTTTTGTGAATGCGGTAAAGGGCATTTTCGTGACTCGTGATCGGCCCTTGTTCTCCCCGTGAAATATGAAACTGCTAACTTTTTTGTCGTGAATTGTGATTTTCAAAGTGGTCGTGAAGCGTGATTTTGTAAAATTACTATCCGTGAAACGACAAATGAATGTTTAATTTGCTGTGAATCGTGAGTTTAAGGTTACTTCCTACCTTCAGAGACCTAAAAAATCGATTTTTATTTCATTTGACAAAACTGAATTCAAACATTCAATCAAATGTTTCCATGGAAAAAATATCTGATATCTTTAAAAGCACAGTTATTTAGAAAAACGTATTTTCAAATAAAAGTTATTAAATCAGGAAGGTGTCATTATCTGGGACCTGGGTGAGTTCCCTGGGGGAATTTTCGCGGCAACCGCTCATGTTGAGGCTCGATCTTCATGTTATTTCCATATTTTCTTTACATCGCACACTTTACAAAATTCACACGTGGAAGCTCTTTGTTTATGGAAAAATCTTTGCGCATGGAAAAAATCAACAGCGGAAGAAAGTCCTTGGGAGAAAAAAAGGAAAAAAAGGCAGGCCCAAAGAAAAGAAAGGGTAGCACTCTGTCAAGCAAAGAACACAATTCTTTTGTGAAAACGATTAGTACTAACGGAGCTTCACGCTGGCGCCCAGATTTCGAACAAAGAGGTCCGATGTAACCAAAATTTACCATACATAATGTTTAAAGCGAAGTTTCCTTTTCTATATACAAGTACTAGTCTTGATACAAAAACATTAAAAATCGCCTCGAATCGTAATTTTGAAAGCTGTATGTTGATTATTTGTCTTGCTCCTCAGCTTTGCAGTTTTTTAAATTTTTGCAGCGGGTTTTTCCTTTGCCGTTGACCACTTTGCTTATCATTGTGTTGTCCTCTTCAACGCTCCACTGAGCAATCGAGATAAAAAAAAGAAAAAAAAAGTCTGCAATGGGTTACTTTTATCGGGAAATCTTAATCCATAGTCATTGACGCCAGGAGGTCCCGTTGTCCTATTGGTTTGCGGTTTCCTGGGGCCAGATAATCTTCTGGCGAGGCGCGAGTTGTTTGCAAACCTTTATAAGCTAAAATCTGGCATTTGACTTTAGGAGGAATACCGCTATTTTGAGCGAATTTATAGGGTATATAGATTTGACCGATTTTCGTCAAATTTCGCCAAAACATCCTAGGAATGATGACAAACGAAGCTGTGTCGGGAAATTTTGATATTTGAAAAATTTGTCCCGTGGCGTCCATTTACGCAATACGACTCGCATATTTTTAGCTACTCCAACTAAGGATGCCGATATGGACACAGCTAATCAGAATATCGAAAAAGCCTGACACACTTTTGTTGATTGATGCCTCGTGAATGAGACTGTGCAGCCATTTTGCTCATGATCCAGCATCTGATACCCGATGAATTCAATAGAAGAACCTTCGGTCGTTTAACGCCTTACCGGCTCTTGACACTTCCGTGAAAGAAAGTCGCTCAAATTATGTTTTTATCGTAATCTGCAGTTATTAAGCTTTCTTCTGATATGTAGTTTGCTAGGATTCACTGCTTAATACTATAAACATTTAGGCTCACCAACACGTGCAAACTGTGGTAAACCGGGAGGCCGGTAAACCGTGGTAGAATCCAGTCTCGTTGCTATTTTAATTAACGCTATCACGAACGACAACGAATAAATGCAATATCGGCAGGGAAAAAAAGAGGAGAAACTTACCAAGTTGGCTCTGCTTTACGGCAAGGCGAAGTGAAGACTCTTCCACACAGCGACTACACTATGTAATGGTTTCGCGCCAGTCTTCACATTCGATGACGTCATGCCCCCCAGCAGATCGCTGAACCATTTGCGGTTTGTATTTTTGGTGGTTTCGGCGAGATAGCATTCAGATCACGCCACAAGCAAGCTCGAAAATTTGCCACACCATCGAAATATTTCTTGTAATGCTAAGCAATTTAATGTTCAGTTAGAACGTCTGATGTTCAGCAAAGCTATTCGTAATGCTACACTATTCGTGTGTAAGCTGTACCATTCTACATTACGCTATGCCGTTTCACGCAACGCTACACCATTTGTGTGTACGCTGTACCAATCGGCATTACGCCGAGCCATTTCACGCAACGCTACACTGCTTGTATGTACGCTGTACCATTCGACATTACGCTGGGCCATTTCACGCAACGCTACACCGTTTGTGCCTACGCTGTGCCACTCGACATTACCCTGAGCCATTTGACGTAACGCTACACCGTTTGTGTATTGTATTGCAAATGAGTGCTAGGCTATTCGCAATTGAGCTAGTCCTTTTCACAATTTCATGTTCCAACTCAACACGGGCTACTAGACCGTTTATCATTTGGCTAAACTATTCATGTTTAGGGTGTTCTGTTTCATGAAGGAAAACTAAACCGTCTATAATTTGGCCATGCCATTTCTTTATTAGCTTTGCTGTCCTGCAGCCGATCCTTAGACCAGCTGTGTATTTGCTGATCTTTTTGACATCCTTGTATTTTTGGTTCGCCTCATGTAAGGTAATCCAGGACAGTATTAGATTCTGGATTCCACGCTGCGGATTCCGGATTCCAGATGCTGGATTCCAGATTCTACCGCTGCAGATTCCGGATTCCAAAACACAAAAGATTCTAGATTTTAGTTTCTGGTTTGCCCCTAATTTTCGCATTTCGTTTTCTAGGAATGACTTCGATGGCGGATTTCGCTATTGAAGGACATGTTTGTGAATGCATGTTTGTCTATTCATATTTCCTCAACAACATTTGATATTTATGACAAATGTATAATAGCAAATTAAGGGATAAATTTTTGTTGTAGGAATACCTGTTGAGACTGTCCGTCTTTTAAATCCAATGTCCATTCATTCCACATCTTTTCAGCAACTCTGAAGAGGCGAGGCCGCATTTCTTTCATACAGGTTCCTCGAGGTTCTTCAAGTGATTTAACAGTAACAAAGAACTAATAGTTCAAATCACTGCTTAGCATTTTTAACTTGTAAATAACAGTTGGACTAAAAATTGGCCAATTTTTTAAATATAAAACTGACTTAGAACTGCTAAGAAAAAAGCTCGAAAATATTTCCCTATCATCTCAAATTACTTTTTAAACCATGTATTGAGGCAAAAATTTAAACCGGAATATAATTTTAATAACACCCCGAGTAAATCACGGACAGAAAAGCTTGTTTTCCCAAATGTAATTGGCGATGATGTTCGACGAGAATGCGCACCAATTCAGCTATACTTAAACTTTTGAAAAATCGCGAAAGATCCTCATTTACACGGTAATGTTTGAAGAATAATATTCTCTTTTCTAAATTTCCTTTTTTTTTTAAAAGGTTAGCCAAGTCATATCGCATTACGTCGGCGATGAATCCTTCAGAGCAATGATTCTATAAAGTTTCAGGTGGGCCGCCGCTATTTTCTTTTCTAGAAAATGTTGTTTGACCTTAAAATCTGGTGATATCTTATCTTAGTCGCACCGAGATATGATGCCTTATGAAATCTTAAGTTTGTTATTCCAAATGCCAAATATCAAACATGTCAAAGAAAACGGTTCACGTTTAAATGCCGAACATTCGACCTGTAAATAGACCTTTCCTGGCTTCCATAAATATCCATATATAACCTTGTTCAAAGTTTATCATAATTGGAAACGTGTGGTCCATCGCCCTGATAAGCTCACTCCTAATCTTGGAAGCGACACTTCCCTTTCACTCTCCCCAGCTGCTTTCTCATCCGCCGGATTTTGATCCTCATCATCTCCAACATCTTCGTCGTAAAGGTCACCATTAGCAAGCCTGGAGAGCCTGTTGTCCTCCTCAGACGTTAGAGTGATGCTTGAACCCTTGGCAGTGAATCCCAAAACTCGGGTTAGAATGCAGTTGGGTGAGTTCCGATCACAGACATCGCCGGGAGTATACGTAAGAGGGTCACTTGTCCAGTTCAGCCACTGAAATTGCACCTTCTTTCGTAAAAAATTGCCTCCATCTACTTCTAATTGAACGTCTTTTAAGAGAATAGCCAGCCAGAATGGCGAAATCTCTCTTCTGCGGTTATGTCTCACAGCAACGACTTGAACTGCACTCTACAGTGGTTGCATGGATGCGGGTGAAAGCCGCTAATACGATTTGAAATGGATTTTCAGCAAATGGATTCTGGATTCCCTTTTTAGCAGAATCCTGGATTCCAAAAGCTGGATTCTGGATTCCAAAGCTTAGTATTCCGGATTCCACGAGCAAAATTTCCTTGATTCCGGAATCTGGATTTCCTTACATGGGGCGATTTGGTGGTGACGGCCGCCCATACAAATGACCTATAATATCAAGACAAGCTTTAATAATTATTCGATCTAAAAGAAACACATTTATAATTCGCACTCAGAACAAACGCAAATCAAGTCTAAAGCTAAAAAAAAAAATTTTTATCGAAGTTTGGAAAAAGTAACGAAGCGAAAACTGACTAAATTAAAAAACCTTCAGTGTAAACTTACTTCTGTGGCGGGTCGTTACAACAGTCTCACTTTACTGGTTAGCAGATTCTCCAGGTAAGCGGATTTAGAAACAGAAAAATTGATAACAAAATAACTTCTTTCTCACTTCGATTCCGGTGAAAAACTGACTTAAAACATAATAATCTAACGGCTTTAAATCAATCTATGGAATTAAGGAGGCAGTTAACCCTAAAATTGGAAAAAAATGTTAACTCCCTCAAACTTGCTTTGAGTGACTGGTCATAATATTGGCTTTTTGACAGAGCGTTTTCAATATTTTTGAAAATCCCGCCTAAAAATTGATTTTTAATCAATGGAACTCATTTTAATTACCATTGTTTACACTTTGTTGACTATGCTTCCACGGCCATCGAGAAACGAAAATCCTATACTCCGTGACTTGAGTCCAAATTTTCCAGCCCAGAATTATGATTTAGTGCTGGAAAATGAATATTTATTTGTGATTTTAAATTTGTCAATGGAAGTCGAGGAAGAAACCGAATTAGGGAAGTTTAGAGACGGGAAAAAAGTTCGAAGAGTCGAAAATGACAGAAATGAAGCGTGGAATTGGAGCCACAAAGTATTAAGGCTCAAAAGTCGATGACTTTCTGACGCTGGGTGTCTTGAAAAAAGTGCCAAGCAGTTTCCGGTTCTCAAAAGTTCTTGCGCCCAATTTGCGTTCAAAACCGGCAGGGAAAGCAGGCAAAAGCAAAGCATCCAAGTTGTCAACAGTTAGATTATTTTCACAGAAATTTACAAATTCCTCGATTAAAAGCAAAACTAAAGCGTATCTTTTACAAGGTCACCTTCCAATTGTTGTTATGATAACCAGTAAGTTAATATTCCAAAGCAATCAAATAGCGGCCATATTGATGATGTTCCGAGCAAATCCTGTGGGATTTGAACGCTTTTGTTATATAAACACTTTCTAAATTTGAGCACTGGATTGACCAGTTTTGTGAGAATGGAACTTCCACCTCAGTTACAGTGGCCTATAATCAGCACATGAAGCAAGTTGAAAAATTAGCTGTGAGTAATACGATTTGAAATGGATTTTCAGAAATGGATTCAATCAGTGTGCAAAGTTGCTGTTTCAATAGATGGAACATGGCAGAAAAGGGCACAGCTCTAAGATTGGTGTAGTGTTTGCTGTTTCAGTTATGACAGGAGAAATTATTGACGAGCAAAATGCTCATCTTGAACACACCGATCATCAGCTGCTTATCTTTCATGGGGCGATTTGAACCATGTGGGCTGAAGAAATGGAGCCCATACAAATGTTAGCATCTTCAGTCGTAATATCAAGACAAGCTTTAATATTCTATCTAATAGCAACTGTTTTTATAATTCAAAAATGATTGAACAAACGCAAATATCCAGTCTGGTTAAAAAAAAATGTTTTATCGAAGATTTGGAAAAATAACAAGAGAAAATGACTAAAGATGTTGGAAAAGGTTGTGGTAAACTGATAATTTTGTGGACAGAATGCAAAAATATTATGGAAGAGCCACTTTACTGGAAAAGCAGATTTACTCCAAATGAAGAACGGTATGGGCAATCTATCAAACATGATAAAAGATGATCAACAAAATAAGCTATGTCCCAAAGGTGAGGCATCCGGTGAAAAACTGACTTAAAACATAATAATCTAACGGCTTTAAATCAATCTATGGAATTAATGTCAATCACGATTCTTGTCATTAATTAAATTTGTCAACAAGAGGCAACGCCTACAGTCCTAGTGGTAACAAATTCAGATTACCCATTAAAGAAATGACAACTGAAGAGCTGGATATTTGCCTAAATTTTTTTGCAAGCATGCGAGAAAATTCGACGGCACACCTAAAGAAAAAAAAAACAGCTTTGTTCAGTTCGATCTTGGCAGCCATTCTTTCGTCGCTAGCCCATACAATCTCAGCCCTTATTTCGGCTACTCAAGATAGAGTGTACATAGTTTTTTGGAAGTGAAGTTGCTCTAGTCTTCCTGTGGTTGTCAAACCAAATAAAATTTAGATGGTAGAGTTATCAACTGTTTGCGTTTTTACTAAAATAATTACCCTGTGACTAAATGCCTGGCAGCCGGGCACGGTCTCCAATAGACTAAATGCCCGGCAGTCAAACATTTTCACGCAACTTCCACCAAAACTTCTTCGTATTATCAGATGTTTGTTAAGAAATGTCAAGCGATTCCGGGTATTTAGTCTATTTGCGATCGTGCCCGGCACTCTGTTCAAGAGTCGACAAATCGAGCGATTTTGTGATTCGCTCAGCTGGAAAAATTGTCCACCAAATAATTTTAGAATCACTTGGGAAACCTAAACAAACATCGAATACTGTATTATTAACAAGTTTATTTGAGGTGACTGACCCTTGCTGTCACGCCACAGTTGTCACGAAGACAACATATTCTACGAAACCAGCCTGACCTCCCAAGCTTTAGAGCAGGTTCATGCGGTTTAAGCTTGATCACTGAAAAACCAACGCAATGTTAACATTGCTTGACATTTCTAATCAAACACCTGACACTCTTGGGAAGTTTGAAGAACCTTTCAGTGGCATTTTGATGAAAATTTATGACTGCCGGGCATTTAGTCCATTTGAGACCGTGCCCGGCAGTCTTATTAGGAGCGTAGAATTTCCAAGTTGTCGACAAGCGAGCAATATTATAGTATGCACAAGCTCAGAGAATTTGTCGGCTAAAAAACCAAATAAATGTTTGTATCGTTTGACATTTCTTAACAAACATTTGATTATCTTAAATATGTTGAAAGAACCTTTCGGCGGAAATTGCGCGAAAATTTCTGACTGCCGGGCACTTAGTCCATTTGAGAGACCGTGCCCGGCAGTCTGATCAGAAGCATAGAATTTCAGTGTCGACAACCAAGCGATATTGCATTATGCACAAGCTCGGATAATGTATCCACTAAAAAAGCAAATTAATTTTTGGAATCGCTTTACATTTCTAAACAAACATCTGATACTCTTGGGAAGTTTGATGGACACTTTCAATGGCATTTTGGTAAATAATTCTAACTGCCGGGCATTTAGTCCACTTGAGACCGAGTCCGGCCGGGCAGTGTGATCAGAAATGTAGAATTTCTAAGTTGTCGACAACCGAGCGATATTATAGAATGCACAAGCTCGGAGAATTTGTCCACTAAAAAAAACCAAATAAATTTTTGGAATCGCTTGACATTACTAAACATACATTTGATATCGCCTCTTTGAGAGTTCCTTATGTTCATACAAATTTTCGCCATTGCGGTGTGGGTGAACTCACCGTCTAACTTTATTTAAAGAATCGACAGACGTCAGTTTCCGCTTCGTTACTTTTTCCAAACTTCGATAAAATTTTTTTTCCTAGTCAAAATCAACACGTCCTCACTCAGTTGTCCCCGAAAGATACATAAATGGTGGTTCATTTGCATATTGTGAATTTTTAGGCTGATTTAGGGCTATTTTTGCTCGGTTTTAGTTCATCTGCTCTGCCCTCTAAATAATCCTTTCCAAGGTACGTCTACGAGTAACGCCAAACTAACGAACCCACTGGAAAAAAAATGCTGTAAATTCGTTCTAGAAGCCCATATAACATCGAAATTGTTAACTTACGCTCTGTTCCTCATTCGAAGGTCATGTAAAATCAAATGGAATTAAAGGCCGCGAGTTCCAGCCTAAAGATTTGCCGAGACCCTTGGAGTTGAGGCACTCTACAGATATTGCGGTACTCAAACCGTAAGAGCTTTCAAGTTATGGTTCAAACTAGTTACATTCGGTGTAACAAGTGACCGCTGAATGTTTCTTAGGACATTACATACCCTTGAATGTATTCGGTGAATGTTGCCTCAATTAAAGTCTATTCTAGTGAGAGGCCATGGACAAAAAAAAAAAAAGACATATTTCTCAATTAACATAACCTTCTTTATACCCGAAAACGAAATTTTTAACAGTGTTAAGGTTTTTCTAAAATTTTATTTATATATTTACCTTTTAAAAAAAGTGTGGGGTCAACAAGTTCTGAGGTCCGCAGGTACCGGAGGTGAGGCGGTTTACTGAGACGCTTTCGAATTTGACCAGATGATGACCTCTTTTCATAGGAGGCGCCGCCTTATTTCTCTTCGGTGGTCTGTTTTTGTTATTGCTTTGTTTTGTTGTTGTTGCTTTTTTTGGTGATCCTTGTTAATTTGGATCTTCCTCTGGTTATTTTATTTTTCACATCAACATTGGTAATCTTTTACCTGCGCCCGAGAATTTCAGTCCCAGATGTTCAAATCCCCAGGGTCCATCAAAAATATTGTCAATGGTCTGTTTTCTTACTTGGTTACGGCCTTCTTTATAAATTACAGTACCCGCAGCTTTGAACCATTAGTTAAAATTTATGCACGATTCAACGTATAAGTTTTGACGCCTCCGCCAACTTCTATGAATATGTTTATGCTGGTGTGAAGATCTTGGAAGGGAGGGGGGTGTTTCTTCTTCTGCCGCTGTACGTTAAATTGGATTAGAGCGTATGCGTAATTTTTAAACATTTTGGTCTGTCTGAGATAAGATAGATGCTTCAATCTTAGTTTAGTCATCAACATCCCCTCTACCCACTCCCACTGACACCAAAAAAATTCAACGACAAGTACAAAAATAAAAGTGATAAGAACTTCGGGGTTGAATGGAGAATATTTTACATAATTTCCATGTTAACGTTTGTTAAATTAAGAACTATGGCGGCAAATTGTCGAAGGTAAAACGCACCGTGACCAGAGTGTAAATTGAACTAGAACAGCTGTTTAATTTTGGAGCAACTGTAGAATACCCTGCCACTTTGGTCCACCTCATTTACATGTGTCATGAGGCTTTGAAGATCGAGGCATAACACAATATAGTTTTTTCTTATTCAATGACATGTAAATGAGTGGCAGGGTATTGTGCAGCTTAGCTTTATTTTATTGTAAGACAGCTTATCAATGCAGGTAGTCGAACGAATCGTTTAAAAATTCTACATTTTGCTTTGCTTGCGAATAGTCGAACTTTATATTCATTTGCTTAAGTTTCACTTTTACTCAGTGAGATATTTCAACTGCGTAATTGTCGAATAAAGAAAAACCGTTACGGTGTTGTTTTATGAATATTGCGATCCATAGGAAATGTCACGTCATGGGATTATATTTCTTAGGCGTATAGTTTTTAAGCTTCTACTTATCGAAAGATGCGTTTTTCATTGTTTCCTTTAGCGGTTTATATCCGTCGTCTAAGACCTATCGTGACGGACTTGCGAACTGAAATTTATACTTATTTGCATAGCCACTGAGGCAACTCAAGCGAGGTGGAAATGGTGTAATTATAGATGTTATTGATAAGCTCATGCCAAAAGATGCGGAGATCCTGGTGATATGGGGTCTATACACTAGGAAGCTGGAACAGGGACTTGGGAATTGGATCATTAATATTTAAGTTCGGGTTTAATTTCGTCATGGCGAAGTCACCAGGTGGTATTTTGCGGTCGAAAAGGTAAATACGGGAAACAGGCTGTCTTTCTGGGGGGTTGTAATATTTGCAAACGGCTAAATATCTTCTTTTTTTTTTTTCGAAAAATTGACAGAGAATTGACTTGATGAATTATCCCGCGACCATCCGTCAAAATACACGGTACAGAATGTGGTAAAATAATAAAAAAAGTAAATACAAAATGAAAAATGCCCTTGACAACTTTTTTAGCTGGTTGACCGATCATAATACACATTATAATTTCCATGAAAAAATAAAATTTCAACGTCATTTTTTTAAAAATTTTTTTAAGATAGCAGCGTGCGAATTAAGGATTCAGTTTCAGAAAACAGGTCATAAGCAAACAACCTACAAATGTTTATCTTTAACTCCAGAGAATCACTTGCGTATGGGGTGAAAGAAGAAACTTTAGGGCATGATTCCTTTCAGTGTATATGGTAGTGAGCTTGTTAATACGCTTGCAGCATCCAGTATGATGAATTGAAAAAAATTCAAAATTAGCATTTTTTAGTTATTACTTTTATTTACTCAATAAGACTGATGTAAATATATCAAATTTTATTTTCCATTTCATATATGAATCAGCCATCACTTTTAGACCATTAATCGTTGGGTCGCTAATCCGGCGTAGAACTCCTTTTAAAAGCTTCCGTCTCTGAAATCGTTTAAATAAGCTTATTCTTTATTTACGGAGACACTACCACACACATTAGGACAAGAAACATTTATAGATTCTGAGGATAGCAGTCATTCCACGAGGTTATTCGTTGGTCTCTTTAAGTTTCGGTGGCAGGGCGAGTTTATCTTCGGAATTTTTAGGTGAGTTGAGTTTCAATGGCCAAAGCTGTTTTTTTCCCCTTTTTTTAAGTCATGCAGCGATGAACTGGTTAGATATGAAAACAGACTTAATGTTTTAGAGCCAAATTATGCGCCACACACAAAGAGAACCTAGATTAATAAACATCTTTATCCCTGGATGGGTGCGGTTTAAACTGCGATTCGAACTTATAATTTCAGTTCTTGTTTTTAAACAGACTTGTCTTCGATTTAAGACCCAATGCGGATGAACAGTTCAAAAGTATATAGTGTTCATCCGATTCTAAGAGGCCATTATGAATTGATATCTTGTGCTCGATCAAATTATGGATGATAACATTGGGATTTGTCCTGCTGTCAATCATAAGAGTTCGATGCAACCTGGAGTCGTAATATATTTGGTTTTCCCCTTTGTGTTCAGCATGTGTCACGTTAGCTTTAAACTAGCGTGACACATAGTCATTCTTGTTACTCTGTATAAGTTTTTCTTTTCTTTTCTTTTGTCTTTTTCTCTCTCTCTCTCTCTCTCTTTTTTTTTTAATAAGCCTTTTACTAAAGAAAACAACAGCTATTATGGAAACTATTACCTTAACGCCCACCATAACTTGGTTGAAAGGATCTCAATGAACCACCTGAATGTGGTTTTTGAGATTGTTGACGTCATTCCTATGATCGGCAGTAATGTTTCAATTCGTACACTAGAAGAGCAAGTTGAGTTGAAACATACATTATAAGACCATTTACTACTTTTACTTATTTATTTGTTTCTTATTTTGTTGGTTTTTTTGTTTATTTTCGTTGGGGCTGATTA